TTGTTTTCTAGATATCTACTCCCTTCTTGCACATACCACTGAACAAACAAATTTTATTTACTCTTCTTTATTAAAACATGTCCATATACATCTTAACCATTTAGTCGCAAGGGTGCATAGATCGGCTAATACATTGATTACTCCCTCGCACACACACCTACAGACGAACACAGCACAATTTTTCTTAGTTTTTATTTACTATTTCTATCTTAACTATAGCAATGTTTTTGTTTCTCTTTTCTCTTAATTTATCACATTTCCGTAATATCCCGTCCTCTCTTACCTTTTTCTCTTTAGTTCCTTACCATAATGGGAAGTGCACTTTTAAGGAAGTCTTTGTCCTGCTGCTGATATTTATTATAGCAATATTGGAAACGTTTTGACAATATTTTCAATGTGAGATGGTGGTGGTGTTGATGGTGGTGTGGGTGGTGGTGGTTGGTGGTGGTGGTGGTGATGGTGGTGGTGTGATGGGTGGTGGTGGTGGTGGTGGTGGGTGGGGTGGTGGTGGTGGTGGTGGTGGTGAGGATTAAAATAATGATGAAGATGATGATAATTACAATGGTGGTGATAACAATGACGTTAATGATATGGTGATGATAAGTACAAGAATCATAATATTCATAAATGAAGAATAGACAACACAGCTACTACCTCTACTTCAAAAAGTAATGGTGCCCATGGCAAAATTAACAATTATGACATGATATTTATAATGAAAATAACTAAAAAGTCACAAAAAACATGAACAACATGATTAATATAATGATGATAATGATAAGAAGAATAACAATAAGATTGATGATGATGATGATGATGATGATGATGAGATGAAGATAAGGATGATAATAATAATATTGATAATAATGATAATAATTATAAAAATATATAGTAATAAATAATAATAATAATAATAATAATAATAATAATAATAATAATAATAATAATGACAAAAATATGCCATGAAATAAAACAAAATAAACAAAGTAAATGAAAAGATGGGATAAGATCAAATAAATCAAAATAAAATAAGACAGTATAGGATACAATACAATTCAATAGAAATGAGATTTTTTTAAATGATTTGATAAGTTTGGAAAACTGTTTTTATCTTTTAAAATCATAAATCATAAGAAAAACACACCACAATAAAATAAAATAAAATGAAACAAAATAAAATAGAATAGGATAAGATGAAATAAGATAAAAGAAAATAAGGTCAAGAGAGAGAGAGAGAGAGAGAGAGAGAGAGAGAGAGAGAGAGAGAGAGAGAGAGAGAGAGAGAGAGAGAGAGAGAGAGAGAGAGAGAGAGAGAGAGAGGAGAGAGAGAGAGGAGAGAGAGGGAGAGGGAGAGGGAGAGGAGGGAGAGGGAGGGGGAGGGGGAGGGGAGGGGAGGGAGGGAGGGAGGAGGAGGGGGGGGGGGGAGGGGGGGAGAGAGAGAGAGAGAGAGAGAGAGAAGAGAGAGAGAGAGAGAGAGAGAGAGAGAGAGAGAGAGAGAGAGAGAGAGAGAGAGAGAGAGAGAGAGAGAGAGAGAGTGAGTGAGTGAGTGAGTGAGTGAGTGATGAGAGTGAGAGTGAGAGTGAGAGTGAGAGTGAGAGTGAGAGTGAGAGTGAGAGTGAGAGAGAGAGAGAGAGAGAGAGAGAGAGAGAGAGAGAGAGAGGAGAGAGAGAGAGAGAGAGAGAGGAGAGAGAGAGAGAGAGAGAGAGAGAGAGAGAGAAGAGAAAGAGAGAGAGAGAGAGAGTGAGAGGAGAGAGAGAGAGAGAGAGAGAGAGAGAGAGAGAGAGAGAGAGAGAGAGAGAGAGAGAGAGAGAGAGAGAGAGAGAGAGAGAGAGAGAGAGAGAGAGAGAGAGAGAGAGAGAGAGAGAGAGAGATAGTATGAGAGACAGAGAGAGAGAAATATAATAAAAAATAATAATGACAAAAACTATATCAATCATTAGGAATCAATACTTAATACAGTAACAACAAAACAACATTAATGACGATTATGATAATAATAAAATAAACAATAATGACAACAGTAGTTGTCTAATTGATGTTTAATAACCAAAGCAACTAGAATAATTATAAGTATCAAAAGATAATATTATATAAGATATAAATAACAGTAGTTGATAGATTAGAAACAATTATACTACTAATAATAATAATAACAATTATGATACTACAACCACTAATTTGATGAAAAAAGCTTGACTTACATTACATTCATAATGATGGCAATGATGACAAAATATAGATAATAGCTTTATTTATGACAGCAATTGTGAAATCCTTTATTCATCTGAAATGCATGAGGTAGATTTACAAAGATTTGAATAAGTCTGGTAACTTGAAACCTTTAATGATATCTTATTTATTGTTTTATTATATGTTTTAAACCATTCTATAGACACAGGGTATGATTTTCATAAATACAATTTTGTGTAATATGAACATTAGTTTTTTTTTTTGTATGTAAAGTTGCAGCGCTCTTTAGCTCAAGCTGCACGTCTCTCTTTAGAAGAGATATATACAAGATTTTGGACTTGCTTTTCCATATGACATATGTTATTGTCCACAACTGTATTATTGATTTGTTTCTGCCTTCCTGATTTACCTTTAAAAACGGACATTGCAATCTTCTACATCAAATTTATCCCATGAACATATATTTGGCCATATCTTGCTGACCTATGATTATGTAAATTCCAGATAATGCCTTTGTTTTAAATGTGACTGCTTCCATCTGTTTAGTATAGTCTTGCATACTACATTTCCAGTTAAGCCATTGAATAAATCACTGTTACTATACAGTTACTCCCTTGAAAATAGCATACCCCATAACAACATTGTTGTTATAATCGCCATTTTCAGTAGATATGTAAGCAATTATAGAATCAAATAAATAGTCATCCAAAATAGGCCTATTCATTTACGATTGAACTTCTTTTTCAAATTTCTTTCTGTCACAACCTTTACATCCTGTTACTCATGCAAGTCTCAAACACAGCATACATTTAAACAGACTTTTCCATCAGCAACAAAATTCTTTATCTTCATATAATTTTCTGCCCATTTTGCTGTGGATGAAGCTGTGTTGGCAGCATTATTGCTCTCTGCATGACTGCCCTTTTACCAGGTGTGGATCTCAGGTTCTCTTTCCCCTCACTGCAATGCTGCTGACTGGACAAATCTGTAACATCATTCTTGCAACCAAACATGGGTCCAGAGAATAAATACTGCACACCACGGGCCAAAATCATTCATTCCACTCTTGTCACAGTTGGGAAACAAACAGTGCAACACTTCTTGGCATTTAATTTGACTACCATACCTTACCACTTGCCGCTAAGTCCTAAGCTAAAACTGAAAACTTCTCTTTCTCTCTTTCAATATCTTCCCTGTATCATTATTTACAATATAACTTCATTTACAATAATTTAGTTTCCTTTCTTGTAAATCATATTTTTTTTCTTGTAAACCCTTGAATATAGGTAGAAAGAAATCATGAAGGTGATGATAATAATAATATATGACAGTCATAAAAACAATAATAATAATAATAATAATAATAATAAAAATCATAAGTCATAATAATAATACTAATGATGATGATGATAAGAATATATATTAACAATAGTAATAATAGTAATATCAACCCACTGTTGTCAGGTTTATGTACTGTTGACTGTAGTTTATTTTGTGAATCTTGTTTGCACAGACATGACTCCACATCTGCTCAGCTATGAAAGGAATCAAGAAGTCTGCCTAAATTTTCCTTAAATGCTATTAACATCAGAGTTGTTACTATTGTTGACAATGTGATTATTACAAAGTTACGAATATATCATCTAAAAATCTAAGAAAAGAATAAACATATCAGACGGGTATGACTAGTAATTGACTCTTTGGTGATCAAGCCTTCTAATGTATGTGTAAAGACAGGTTTTAAACAAAAATAACACAGTGGGTTTGTTCTGTACTCTTGCCATCCCAGCATTAGTCGGTTAAAATTAAGATTAATAATAATAATAATAATAATAATAATAATAATAATAATAATAATAATAATAATAATAATAAATAATAATATAATAATAATAATAATAATAATAATAATAATATTATTATTATTATTATTATTATTATTATTATTATAATGGTAACATAACCAAGAACAATAATAACCTAACAACAAATATCTTAATATGCTTTACTTTGAAATAAAATAAAGAATACATTTCTTAATAATACTACTTTCAAATCAAAAATCATTATTTAATCAGTTTAGAGACATAAATTTTAGATTACTACAATGCAAGAACATCAGATTTAATAAGAAAAATATTCCATTAATATCAGTATTAACAGCAATATAGTAAAAATTTATCTTTCATAAAATAAATCATTACCACAGTCCCAACCTAAGACAAAACTCTATCTATATGTGTATATATATATATATATATAATATATATATATATATATATTATATATATATATATATATATATATATATATATATATATATATATATATATATATATATATATATATATATATATATATATATATATAATATAGATAGATAGACAGAGAGTTATAGATATAGATAGATAGTTATAGATATAATAATAGTGATAACAGTAACATATATAAGAATATTTATAATATGAATTAACAAATTACATCTAAAAAAAAATTCATGAAAGTTGCTATTTGTTTGTTAATGCTAATATTTTCATATCAAAAATTTCTTATTAGTTCAGAGGTATATAAACTTTAGATTCCACAAAATTTTGTAAGAAAAAGCTTCCATCAATATCAAAATGAATAAAAATATAGTAAAAAATTTCCTTCCACAAAACAAATCACTACCAATCTTAACATAAAAGTCTATCCAAATGCATATATATATATATATATATATATATATATATATATATATATATATATATATATATATATATATATATATATATATATATATGTGCCTTATAAGAAAAAGATACTCCAAATACAAGAATAAAATTCATTTCTTGACGAATTCCTCCATTTCTTCCTTTCTCATCCTATAAAACAAGAAGCCTCTCAGCTCAGTCATATCTGCTGCTCCCTTGCTTTTGTAGAACTCAATGCTTGGAAGATTCCAATCAAGCACAGCAAAGTCACATCGAATCCCTTGCAGTGCCATGCCATCCTGAAAGAAACACATGCCAAAAAAAAAAAAAAAAAAAAAAAAAAAAAAAAAATTATCAGTAATAATATCAGTAATAATAAAATCATATAAACACACAGTAGTAGTTCTCGATAGCAGTGCACATGAACTTTCAGTTTTTGGCACATCT